ATTTGCCCTTAGCTGAATTCGCCTACAACAACAGTTATCATTCGAGTATTGGTATGGCGCATTTCGAGGCATTGTATGACAGAAAATGTAGATCTCCGATTTGCTGGGCAGAAGTTGGAGATGGGCCTTTGCTTGGTCCCGAGATTGTATACGAAACGACTGAGAAAGTGAAACTGATACAACAGAGACTGAAAACCGCACAGAGCAGACAGAAAAGTTATGCTGATGTCAGAAGACGGGATAGAGAATATGAAGTAGGTGATCACGTATTTGTGAAAGTGACACCGATGAAAGGCCAGACTCGTTTTGGAGTCAAAGGCAAGTTAGCGCCGAGGTACGTCGGACCATATGAGATTATTGAGAAAATCAATCCGATGGCGTATCAAGTTGCGCTTCCTCCTGAAATGGAGCATATGCACAACGTCTTCCACATTTCTATGTTGAGGGACTACCTCCGGGATCCTTTCCACGTAATAGAGCCTACTCGTGTAGTGCTGAGTGATAACTACACTTACAAGGAACGGCCTATTCAGATTGTAAACAGACGGATCAAGAAATTGAGAAACAAAGAGATTCCGTTAGTGAAAGTTGACTGGCAAAACCATGGTGGCGTGTATGCCACTTGGGAGAGGGAAGATGACATGGCTAAAAGATATCTTGAACTGCTTCCACTGAATCCTATTTTCTTCCAAAACGAAGGTAACTCGAGTTTAGAGGACTAAACTCTTTTTAAGGAGGGGAGACTGTAACAACCCTCGTCACTGTTTACCGATTAACCACTGATTACTGCTAAACTGAGACTGATTATGAATGGTAACTGAATTGATTGAAGTACTGAACTGACTGACTGAAATCTGGAACTGAATTGATTAAGTATATCTGTTTAATTGTATGTCTATCTATTGACTGTTTGATTATCTGTTCATGCCTTTGTGTTTAAAATGCGAATTGAAGGCATTATCGGCGGCCGAATCTGAAATTGATTAATGATTTGTGATCCTTAGAATTAATGTGATTTTATGGCATATTCAGTTAAAATGTAATTTGGTGTGATTAAATTAGGTTAAGTTAAGCCAAATTGCATGAGTTGACTTAATTACCATTTTGCCACCATTGAGTGGGCCACTTAGCCAACATACTTGAGCCTTGTTACATGTAAACAAAACATTTCATCAGTCCATTTCTTGTTCTTGCCGACTTGAGAGAGTGAGAGGTAGAGAAAGCTTGAGTTCTTCACAATTTGGCTTAGAGTCTTGTAGAGATTGAAGGATTCTTGCATGTTGAGCCTCTAGACTTGTAATTGAGGAACCTAGGTATGAATTTCATCCCCCTTATTGTGTATTTAAGTTCCTTCTAGCATGGATCATGATAGTTTAAAGAGTTAAGTCAAGAATTGGTTCAATAATGTTGAATTGGAGCTCATTCCATGCATGCATGTTTGAATTGTTGAGTTGTGAGTTAATTTCATGATAAAATGTTACATGCATGTTCATATTGTGTTTAAGTCCATGATTTCATCTTGTCCTTGGAAGAATTGGCTCATTAGAGCATGAAATTGAAGCTTTGAAATGGTTTAAATTCATGCATGTTATGTTTGATTTATGTTCATGAAGATTGGTTTCACATTGAGTTGAATTGATCTTCCTTTGGGGCTTTGATTTTACAATTGAGCTTTGAATCATGTTAAACTATGAGTTTTGATGTGTTTTCCAACAAACTAGCCCAAGAGGATCGAAATTTATGTTTTAAAAGTTGAATTTGAGCTTGATGTTCAAATCTGGGAATTCCAGATTTTGAACTCACGCTCGAGCGGGGTGACTGGTGCTCGAGCGTAAAATTCGTGCTCCCAATACTTTGCACTATTTTGATGCCTGCTCGAGCGGAATAATTGACGCTCGAGCGGGACATTGTGTCTCATGCTCGAGCGGGTGTCGAGCGCCCAATCGAGCGTGATTTTCACCTATCCAGCACTTTTGACTGTTTTGCATAACGCTCAAGCGAGTAAGTCTACGCTCGAGTGGAAACCTTTGTCTGCATGTCCGCTCGAGCGGAGTAACCTACGCTCGAGCGTGACCCCTGTTTTCTGAAAATTCTGAAAATGCTTTTAAAGTGCATCCTTGCATCCTCATCTCATCCTAGGCATTATTAGGCCTAGTTTAAGGCATCTTAATGAGGATATAGATGTAGAACACACTGAGGCAAATTAGGGATTAAGTTATTATTTTCCCAACTGTGTAGCTTAGTGTGTGTTCAATCTGTAAATTGTGTAGGGTTGGCGACTGGGGACGCTCTCTAGCTTTACTGTAGCCCAGAACTCTGTGAGTAACAACTGTGTAAAGATATGTTCAAAATGATTATCTTCTGAACAATCGAACTGTACTGTTTTCTAAACTGATACTGTAAATTGAATGAATGTATGTCCTATATTCTGAATTGTATTGTGGCATCCTCAGCAACTACTGTTTACTGTTACTATTACAGAGATCTCTGTCGGTTCCCTTGTTGGAACCACTACTGTTTACTGATTGATGGTCATCATTTGCTGTTCGGTCTTTTAAGACCTACTGTTTACTGTACTGTTATGCTAATGGATGTACCACATATGACTGAATGACTGATATACTGAATTAGCGAACTGTTTTTATTACTGTAAGGACATTCATTCTTAACCTCTTTACGCATTACGTTATTCACTGGGCTTTAGCTCACTGCTCATATATATATGTAGGTGTACAAGCACCAGACCACGGCTAGAAGCGTCGGGGTTAAGCTCCAGTTTTGTCAAGCCAACCGTTGTGCCTCACTGCGAGGTTCCGAGCCTGTCAAGCTAAGGCTATGGGGTGTTTTAGTTTTCCCCCGTTTGTCCCTGTAACTGTTTTGTAAACTGTATAGACTGCTATTGTACTGTTTAATAGGGATTAGGTCCCTGAACTGAATGATTGTTAATATGTACATACTGTTCATGTATATGTGTATGAAAAGTCTTTTTGGCACACAGACTGTCACAACTCATTGGACAGTGTTTATTTACTGTTTTGGCTTCTGTCATGCTCCTGTACTCTATTTTACTGTGTTACTGTTAAACAGGCCTTCGGTAATCTTGGATTACTGGCCGGTTACGGTGCTAAACCCATAGGGGCGGGTTTGGGTCGTGACAGATATGACAAGGTAACTATACTTACCTCTTCATTCTCTTCATCACTTTCCATGAGTTTAGCTACTTTTGAATTAGTTGGTCTGTGAGCCCTCACTAGAGACTTCTATGGGATCAGTCCCTTGATCCTCCTAATTTCTCTCTTTAGCTTGAAACTCCTGCAGCGACACATAGACCATATTGATTGGCATTGGAGAAAACAAACCAAACTGGACCACTGGCTGCATTTGCTCCTCCTCTGTGTTGGTCTGACTTAATGCCTGTGACGCATCCTCCATGTTGTACTCTGGGACCTCTAAGCTAGTAGGTTCCTTCATATCAATTTGTTGTTGGTCTATCCTGAATATAAACACTTTTTATTTAGCCATAAAGGCCTCGAACATATCTTCCTCAGCCAATATTCTCTCCTGACCAAGCTCAACTCTTTCATCTGTCTCAGTCTCACCATCACTCTCCAACGAGACCTTTTCAAGGCCTACCAAACTTGATTTTTCCTTGGCTTTCAGTTCAGCATGAACCTCAGCCAATTTTTCTCTGCTAGTTTGATTCCTGTTGGTCTTGGGAGTAGGCCTTGAACTTCTCTCTTTCCTTAATTGTCCTCATAGTTTTATCAAAGTTGCACCTTTACTAGCTTCTTCTAGATCCTTCTAATATCGTGTAAACCTTAGTTGGATCTTTCTTCTTTGGGATCTAAAGATCACAAAAACCATGTCTGGTTCTTTTGTCTTTGGGTTTTTCAGTAAAACCTAATTGTTTGGAGCCACCAAAGGAGGCTTAACCATTTTGTCCTTACATGTAAAGGCTTTTCCCTAGGTTGGTATCATTTTAGTTTTGTTTTGCATGACAAACTAATCTAGGACTCCCGGTACCCATGAACCCACTATGCCAGTAGTTGTGCCTGCTGTTCTCATCTTCGAAGGCCAATCATTAGCCTTGGTTCCTTGTCTTGAGCCTAACTCAGGCTTATTTACAAGTTTGTTGATCATCTTGTAGTAGTTTGGTGGCCTTGTTTCATACAGAGGCCTCTTACCCCTTGACTGATTCCTAGCTTTTGGTGGCAAAACCAAAGATGATTGTTGCCTAGGACCACTTAGGTAAACCTTCATGTAGGTACTGGTTGCTCTACGCGCCTTTTGTATGTCCCTGTAATACTACTTCCCATCAATTGGAAGCCCTTTTATCCATTTGTAACTCAACCTGCCCCTTGGACACATTTGGCCGGAGAGTTTTGACGATGACACTATGGCAGATTTGAAAATGGTTTTAAGAGAATAGAGTGGTGGTGGTTAAGGTAGGGTTGGGTTTGGATTCTAGGTGCAGCGAAAATGGGGTTGAAGAGAGAAACATATGAAGGTGATGAAAATGGAGAGAAATGAACGTTTGATTGAAGAGGTGGTGACACTCCTGTAATTGTAGGCATGGAAGCTGTGTAGAGAGTCGATGATTTTAGGACTGTGACGGTCTCTCTATATATATTTCTATTTGGTCAAAACATAGAAAATTGTGAATAAGTCAGAGAAGATTGATTAAAATACAGTGAAAATTGTGAGTAAATTAGATAAATTTGTGAATAAATCAGAAAAATTTTAAAACACAAAGAAAATTTGAAAATATAGAAAAAATTAGAAAAAAAATTTAAATCGAAATTTCTTTAAAAAAATGTGAGGAACCCAACCACTATGAAAAATATTACATATCATTTATCCTAAAAAATTTTAACATCAGGAATCTTAAAAAAAAATTTCCCATAATTAAATAAAAAGTTGACTAAAAATTTAAGGTTAATATTTTTTAGATCAAAATAATAAACATTAAAGTGCAATTTTAATTAAAAAGTAAATATATCCAAATTTGTTCTAACAAAAAGCACTAGGCGTATCTATGAGCAATAATGGAGAAGAAAAACAAGAAAAGCTAAAGTAGTCACTGCGATCAGCGAAGAAGAAGAAGACCAGTAGCAGTCACTTTCAGGTAATCTCTCTCTCTCTCTCTCTCTCTCCAACAGGAAAAAAAGTGTTCATTTTCCTTCCATTTCATGATCAGAGAAAAAAACTCAGGCTTTGAACTTTGGGTGTGGGTTATTTAAAGCCCTAACCCAATAATAATCCAGTAGAAAAAGTTAACCTGCTTGCCCAATTAAGCAAATTCCAAGGAAATTGGGTTTCTGGTATCTAAAATCATCAGAGTTTTGTTTTCAAATCTAGAAACTTTGTTTTCATGAACATAATATTGTATAATACTGTAGTTGGGATTTGGAATATGTATACCTACCTACTGTGATTCTAATGAATTTTTACTGTTATATTATTGAAAAATGTTTTGAGCTCTAAAGCTTGGCTGTCATCCCACCACTTCGATGTATTGTTTTGATCTTGATTTTTTTGTTTTTTTTTTTTCTCTTATCATGTCATTAGTGTTCTATTAGAGTACTAAATTAGTGTTCTGAATCATTGCCGTATAGTATTATGCGAATGATATACATTGATGTTTAAGCTATGGAATATATGTTTAATCTAACTTTAAAAATAAAAATTAAAAAAAACATGATCTTACACTTCCTATATAGGGATATTATTGAATTTCATGAGGGTGGGATGCAAAATGGGAATAGTGAGAGATTTGAACTTAATTGGTTAAATTACAAAATTAATTGTACTTTTTTTTTTTAATCTTTTCGCATGATCTTCAACCAATATAAATCAATCCATCTAAACAAACGTGATCTGTGGGAGTTCGAAGTATGTGAACTTTGAAAGTTTATCAAAGTGTGGGAATAAATTTATTTTTGAATGGGTCGTGGAGATGGTTTTCAGTCGGTGTCACATTTTTAAGATTTATTTTGAAAGTGACTGTTTGAATTAAAATGTTAGCAGTTCATCATTGCAATGCACGTGTTATTTTTTTAAAATAATATTTGATAGTACAATGTGTATTATAAAATAATAATTTAAATTTAAATTTAAAAAGTATGATTTTAATTATTTATTTTGATAATATTAACGCTATCATTCTATAAATTGTTACTTGAATAGTTATATATATATAGTAAATTTAATTAAATTATTTGTGTATTTTAATAATTTCAGTTCTATTTAACAAAACAGCTCAGTTTTTTTTCCTTGATGAACTTCTATCCCTTTGTCAAAATATGAACCATTGGATTGAACTTAATCCAAGGGCTCACAGTGTTATACTCTCCTTTTTCAACCCACACCCTCTCTTTCTCTCACACTCTCATCTCTTTGTTTCTGGTTTCTGATTTCAAATTTTGAAATCAGACCCCCCTTCTCTCTCTCTCTCTCTCTCTCTCTCTCTCTCTCTCTCTCTCTCTCTCCATTAGACTAATTTAGACGTGCTACCCTGTCGGTGCCCAACCCTACCCGGCGACCGAACTCGAAACCCCCTATTAGTCTCTTCCCTCTCTCCGCTATCCTAATCGTCATATTCTCTCTTCCGACCGAATGAAGCCACCATATATATGATTCAGAGATGGGAGATTCAAAGATTCGGAAACCGAATGTATATATGTATATGCATTTGTGTGCATTATATACATAATTTTATATGTGATTATATATGATAAATGTGTGTGGATGACCCATGCAAACAGAACAATGGTTTCGATCTCGCTGGACTGTCCTCCACTTGATCTCACTAACAGAACAATGGTTTTCTTCTCAAGCTCTTTCGATTTCATTCAGTTACATATATGCATATCTTATCTCAATTCCATATATTTGTTTCATTAGCATTTTCTGTGAATAATTTTTGGTTTCTGGATTCAATCAAAAGTGGAGCTCTTTGTATTGGTTCTGTGATGCATTAGGGGTTTTTGTGAATTATAAACTTCAATATTGTGTGCCTCAAATGTGTGTGGTTGCCTCAAATGCAAATCATGTATACGAATTAAACTATTATATATGATAAATGTGTGTGGATGACCCGAATGAATGTGAATGTAATTATATACATAATTTTATATATGATTATATATGATTCAGAGATTTGGAGACCGAATGATTCATGTATGTATATATATGGATGTATATATCTATATGTATGTATGATTCCAAACCCCCTGTATATATCTGATTCCGAACCCTAAACCCCCTATTTATGTATGATTTTAGTATGTGTATATATATATTTATTTCTTGGGAAGCCATGTCTAAGAACAAAACCTGTGCCAATGAAACAAAACTTGAAGTGGGTTTTTGTTGCATTTTTTTTTTTTGAAAAAAAATGGAAAATTGGAATAAGAAAATAAGCATACCTTCCTCTGCCTCTTAGGGCATGTTTTTTGTGTTGAATGGGTTTATTTTTAATGTTTCAAATTTAGCCAATATAGATAAGAGTTAAATTAATCTTTTTTTTTTTTTTTTCTTCTTTTCTCCTTGAATGATACTTAGGGCATGTTTGATTGGTAGTATTAGTGGTACTATTTTATTAACCTATTAATCAAACAAGGTCTTAGTTTGAGTTTTATTTATTGCATAAAGAATAAAGAATAATTTTGTTTTAGGGCCAGGCCGCACGTGCGGCGATTTCAGCCGCTTTTTTTTTTTTTTTTTGTAACAATTGAACATGTATAACAACAGAGCAATATTTAAACAACTCCGGATCCTCCCAAATCGGCGTCCCGTATGTGCGGGGCCCAAGCCGCACGTGCAGCTTGGTCAACGCAGCTGCCCTCCGCACCTGCTTATTAAGCAGAGTGCAATTTGATTTACACCAAATGTCCCGCACGTGCAGGGCTTAGGCCGCACGTGTGGCAATTTCACCCCCCCCTTTTCTTTTTTTTTAGTGAACAAGTATAACCATTTTTTTTTATATTATTTATTTAAAATTGAACAAGTATAACCCCCTTTCTTTTTTTTTTCTTTTTTTTTAACACAGAAAATAAACATGAAAGCATGCTTTTAAACACTGAGAATAAACATTTCTACCTTTAATTGACATCCGGAATAAATATAGCACAAAAGACATAACGGAATGCCCACTAAAGGTATAATCTTCACGCGAAAATCACGGGTACTACTTTTCTCCCTAACTGTATTTGTAACTTTCCCTATTCTTCAATAGGGTGACAGACTAGGTTGATTTGGTATCCAAAATCGAGGCGCATAAAGCTACCTCAACCTATGGGGTTGCCATACAGAGTTCAAGCCAAGGTAGTTTTGAAGCAATCTCCACACCCTTGGGTATTTAAACCAGACTCTAGTCTCGGAAATCCCAAACCTTTGTGTTCTAGGCTTTGCCATTCGAACTCTAGTTTCCACCGTCTCAATTGGTCTCCTAGGAACTCACTACAAACACGGTTAGGTGGCTATACCAGACCGTCAGATGCCGTTTAGGCACGACTAACACCAAAGGAATTACACCTTTAGAGGATTTAAAGTCTCCTAGACGCAAATAAAGCATGACGAGAACAAAGAAAAACAAAATAACATAGAAGGGAAAGAAAAGAGAATAATGAATCAATTTATCAATCATAATAAAATGGGTCCATCAAACCCCTGGCTAAAGGAAAATGATCCTTCCGAGTCGAGGAATTTAGTCTCCTATAATCAATGCAGCCTCGCCACCAAGTAGTGGTTTGTGTGGGGACTAACTCTCCTCCATCATTCTCAACAGCGGTGATGCCCGATTTCTTGGGCACCACTTGTGTGGGACTCACCCACTTGCTATCTGAGATGGGGTATATGATACCCGCATCCAACAATTTCAAAACCTCCTTAACTGACCCATCAATATCAAAATTTTCAAACCCAAAATGACCTAGACAAGCCTCTAAAAGGTCCTCTACAAGAATGGAGGGCAAAGCCTCCTCCACAATCTCATCCACAACATCCACTAATAAACACTCCTCTCTCTCATGAGGTTGTTGGGATGCTTGGAAAACATTAAGTTTCACTTGCATGTTGCCAAATGAAACTTCCATAACCCCGGTCCGACAATTTATGCATGCATTGGCCGTAGCCAAGAAAGGTTGACCCAAAATCACCAGGATTTGTTTCCTCGAACTGGCTACCGGTTCCATCTCTAAAACCAAAAAGTCAACAGGGAAGTAGAACCTATCAACCTTAACTAGCACATCCTCAATCATGCCGCGTGGCACTTTGAGGGACCGGTCAACCAACTGAAGAGTAACAGTAGTGGGCTTCAACTCGCCAAGCCCAAATTCCTCGTACACAGAGTACGGCAACAAATTAACACTAGCCCCTAAATCCAATAAGGCCCTATCAATGAAGTGGTCCCCTATAATGCATGCAATGGTTGGTCGAGCGGCGGATACACACTCCCAGAACTTTTACAGAACCAGGTCTTCGCTCGAGCTTCCAACTCCCCGCTCGAGCGGCACTCACACAACCCCGCTCGAGTGGCCAATACCACGCTCGAGCGTCCAACACTACACAGGAAATACTGGATGGGTGCAATTCCCGCTCGAGCGCCAAAACCCCCGCTCGAGCGGACAGGTCAAAATCTGGGCAACTTTGGTTTCTAAACTCAACCAACCTGTAACAAACCTGCCCAACACATCCTATAACTCAAATACGAAGTAAAAGGATGTAAACAAGATAATAGTCAACTATCAACATCCACAGACACATGTCCGGATCACTGTACAATAAGGGTAAACCCGGGATCGCTATAACCCCTTAAGTTCTGAGAGAACTTCCAACACCTGAGTCTCAAAGACAGAGTTGCCCTGAGGAACAGGCGGGGGTTGTGGTTGCCGGTACAGTTGTGGGGGTCGATAAGGTTGCGGTGGTTGGTAGGATGATTGGTTGGCAAAATTATTGAAATTCTGCCTTGGTGGTGGAGGATTATAAGAAGTGCCTTGTGAAGGGGGTCTCCATGAGAGGTTAGGGTGATTTCTCCATCCCGGATTATATGTGTTGGAGTATGGGTCATTACCCGGGTTGGAGAATCCTTGAGCCACATTCATATGCTCTTGGACTAACTCCAGAAATTGTGATGCCGAAGGGCACTCACTCAAGTCATGAGCAGGGCTCGCACATATAACACATGCCTCGCGGAATTGAGGCTGATCTTGCTGGGTAGGGGCATGTTCCGTAGCTAATAAGTGGTCTATCTTGCGGGATAGTGCCTCTATTTGTTGGGCTAACTCTAGGTTTTGCCCGACCTCATAAATGCCCCCTCTTTTCGGGGCTCCAACTACGGGTTGCCGGACTTGCCGGGCTGCGGATGCATGGTGAAGGGAATTATCACTTAGGTTCTCAAACAATTGCCATGCCTCGGCATCATTTTTAGACATAAATGTCCCACCACAGGACGAATCCACCAATTGGCGATGCGGCTCAGTTAAGCCATAATAAAATGTTTGAACAAGTTGCCAATTAGGCACTTGGTGGTAAGGACACTGTTGGAGAAGGTCTCTAAGTCTTTCCCACGTCCCATGGAATTGCTCGCCATCCATTTGAGCAAAGTTTGTGATGGCTCGCCTAAGTTGGTTGGTTTTACCTATGGGAAAGTACTTCTCCAAAAACCGTTGCTGTAATTGGTCCCAAATTGTAATTGAGTTAGCAGGTAAAGAATTTAGCCAGTGTTTGGCTTTATCCTTTAACGAGAATGGAAACAATCGCAACATTAAGGTTTCATTTGTGAAATTCTGGATCTTTACTGTCGAGCAAATTTCCAGAAATTCATTCAAATGCTTATAAGGGTCATCATGAGTTAGTCCATGGAATGATGGGAGCATTTGTATGGTGCCGGACTTAATCTCATAATGAGCAGTAGTGGTGTTGGGTAATTGGATACATGATGGTGATGTATATGCGGTGGGTGTAAAATAATCCTTAAGTGTCTGGTTAGGCACATTCGAGACATTAGGATCTGCCATCTCTAATGGCTCAATGTATGAATATGAATACTCAAGCCTAGGAACACGGGTAGAAGCCCTAAGTCTCCTAAGAGTCCTTTCTAGTTCAAGGTCCAAACTCCACAATTTAAGGTGACAAGAACGACGCCCGTGCATACACTACCCAAACACACACACAAGTTCCGACTCTGTGCACTAAGTATGAAAGCAAAATACCAAAGGAAGAAATACTCACAGCAGTTTAACGAAAACGCTTTCCTCGTCTTACGGATGCTTGACGTGTAGACGTTGTCTCCAACCTCTGTTTGAGCTTTGACTTTCGTTTTAGCACTTTGGTGCTTTGCTTGTGAGTGTTTGCTTCTGTTTACTCACTTTAGCGCTGCGGTTTTTTTTTATTTTTAAAGCTCGGCTGCGCTCCGCTTGCACTTCAGTGATAGCTTCAATTTCAAACGCTCTGCACACTTAGCAACACCAAAAGTATAAAATCCTAAACTAAAAATTAAAATAAGAATGTAACTTTAAATTAACTAATTTCGCCAGAAGTCCCCGGCAACGGCGCCAAAATTTGATGGGTCGTTGAACACACCAAAATTAAATACTAAACTATACCAAATTCAATCAGAATAATGGCAAGTCCAGGTATCGATCCACAGGGACTATTGTGAAATTAAACTAATTTAATTGTCAAATTCCTAAATCAATTTTGATAAAAAGATTGGTTGTTTATAACCTAATTTAATAACGAGTAAATTAAACTAAGGAATTAAATTATCAATAATAAATGAAATTGGGTTTACTGAATTGGGAAAAAATCTTAAGGTAGAGAATTCACCACTAACTACATAATTAGGGTTTCCAATTGAAATCAATTATGCTATGGTTTGAACGGATTAATGCTTCACAACTACAAGTTCAAAGCATTTAACAAGAAGATCATCACATTCAATGTACGAGCATGAACCATCTCAAGTAATACGAACCGTTCACTCTAAACTAAGGTAGTGATACGACTCGTTCCTCGTAGTATGGTTCGTCCCATACCTTGAATGTGAAGGAAAAGAAAACAATTGTATGGATAACATTTAACAATCACAGAAAGTCAAATATTCGAATGAATAATGAAAATTATATAAAACAAACTTCTAAATCACTATACAAATGTTCAAACATTTACATAATTACAAATCAAAAAGAAAACTACATAATTACATGGCTAGGGTTTCATCAAAACCCTAGAAAAGAAGACTAGCCACTCATGGAGGAGTGGAAGGAGGTAGAAGGAGAAGGAACCACCATGGGAGACATCTTGGAGCTTTTGTTTCTCTTCCTTTCCAAACCCTAGCCTCACCATTTAGGCCAAAACAACTTCCGAACCCTAATCCAGCCTTTCACTTGCCTTTTTATACTTCCAATCTCGTCCAAACAGGTTTAAAACGTCGGCTTGACTTTCCTAGAAAAAGTCAACACACGTGCGGGAAAATCAACGCACGTGCGGAAAAGTCAACTCTGCCCAAATTCTATCTTTTTGCTCATTTTATGCTCCGACGATGTACAATCTGATTGACACTCAACACACATAAAATATACAGTTTGACCAACAAGTGAAGTTAAGAGATTCTAATTAACGGCCTCAATGATGTACATTTCAACCTTAATCACATGTTTATTAGTTTGTATACCATTTTGATAACATTCGAATTTATTAGTTTGTAACATTTGATAACATTTGAATTTTATTAGTTTATAAAATTAATCTATTAGGAGTTAAATTAATCTATTATTAGTTTGAATTTTATTAATTTTATTAGGAGTTAAATTAATTTTACAGATGTGGCAAGTGTGGATATCTAAACCACATTTCGTATTTTTCTATTTCAACGAAAAGACCCTTATAGAATTCATGAGTTAATTTTTTAAAGTCATACTGTGGTATCGTACTGTTTGATTTCTTAAATTCATACTTTGGTTTGAATTTGTGGTATTATATACTGTTCAAGATTTAATAAATCTGAATTTTTTGTGTCAAACAGTTTTTGGGGATTAATCAGTAAATTGGACATTTTTTGGCAAATAAATGGTTGTTTTTGGCCAATAATGGCCTTCATATGTGTTTGTGTTTGTGTTTCTAAGGATTCGGAAAATATTCTATCCTATTTGGTAATAAATCAAGGGAATCTTTTATTTTATTTTATTTATCAGGTCAGGAAATCGTATAGCATCACTACATTTTTTTTTTAAATTTTTTTAAAACAATTTGGTTTGTATACACTGTATTGGTTTCTATTGTTTGTTTCATGTCTTGGATGTGTTCCAATTCTTACCTTTTCTATAAGATGCGTTCCAAGTCTTAGATAGCATCAGTTGGATCTCAAGTTCTAGAATTAATTAGCTTCGTTACAAGAATTCACCCAATTTTGATTTGAGTCTGATTGTGTTTGGAAGTGCCATTAAGACTTACGGTAAATATAACACATCTTTTGGGATTGGCTTTATTTATTGTTGTTCATAGTTAAGACGTTTTCCTATGCTAAACATAAGATATGTTTGGGGATTTATATGGTTTCAATGCCTAAAGCAGTGTATCATAACTTTTCTTAATTGAGGAAGCAAAAAAAAAAATTTGAGGTTGTGGAAGAAAAAAAAAATTAAGTAAACCAATTTATTTTTTATCTTTTCCGCTTTTTTTTTTTTGTTGTTTTTTCTCACAAAAATGAAACAATCTTGGAAAGTCAATTCTTATATCTTTTAAGGTTATTTTCTTATGTACATTGAAATATTTTTTTATCATATCTATCTTTTGATAAACAAAGGTTAGCTTAGTTATATCTTGGAGACATTTAGTGGTTGACCACCTGATGGATGAATTATTTTTTATGAAATTATTTGTTGGCTTTTTGACTTTAGAGGTTGACTTTAGTGGTTCACTTTGTCCACTTTAGGTGTAGAAGTATATATTTCCACCCTTTGCTAATACATATATGTCTACTCATTTGCACCCTTTGCTAAGCAAAATGGTAACATTCATTAATATTTTCTTTTGCTGTTGTTTGGAGTCAAATTGTGTTACCAATCCTTGAAAATGTCGTCATACAGACTGATTTATTTTTTATTTATTTAATGTTTGGAGTGAAATTATTATTTTAAAACTATGTAGATCTGCGAAGCTTTTGTTATTTGTTAATTTTAATAAATAGATTCTTGGAAGCAAAGTACTAAGTGATTGATGTGTTTTATTGATAGTTTCCATTGAAAACACAACTCATTTTGATAAATTGTTTAATTTTAGTAAAATTTGGTGGCGAAAAATGATTGGTAGGTTATTAGTTTGGCATCTGCATATCTATGTGATTTTTTATTAATTTCTTGAATGAGCTTCAATACAATTCAGTAGAGCTTAAGCCATCGATATGTTTGATTCCTAACAATAATGTAGGAGCCATTGATATGCTAAGTATCTATTGATTGCTTCGTTCGGTTTGACTTAGTGAATTAAAATATGCTATGTATTTAATATTTATTTAGTTAAGTTCACTTTTGTATTACAGGTTTTGACAATACTAAGCTGCATCAAACTCTAAAATTTCCAGCCATTTGTTATATTTATATAGATTTACAGTCTAAATATGATAAGATATAGTGGGATAATGTGTTTCAAATATAATGTGTTCAATATGTTCCGAATAATGGGTCTCAAATATAATGATAATGTGTTTCAAATATAATTTTAAGTTCCGAGTTATCCTCTACCGTCTATAACTTGTTGTTTAGTGGATGGAGCTCTCAACTTTGCTAAATAAACTTGCAATAGGCTTTGATAGTCAAATCTGCCGGTTTTTTGACTTTTTTTGGTCCTTAATTTGCTGGTTTTTCGATTTTCTGGGTGTTTGATTATTGAAAAAAATAGAGGATAATTTCATAGCTTCTGAAATTGTGAGATCGGGGTGGCTGAGTTTGACTTTATTAAATTACAGAGGATAATTTCATAGCTTCTGAAATTGTAAGATTGAGTTTGTCCACGTCAGGTGCAACAATATATATTTGTTGACTTTACTACTACACATGTTTCACTCATTTGCACCATTTGCCAAGTTGGGATGATGTGGCATATTGGACAATTTTAATATTAATTAATTTGTAAGAAAAATAGTAAGATTCATTACTACTTTATTTTGATGTTGTTTGGATTCAGATTGTGTTACCAATACCTGAAAATGTTTGGAGTCAAATTATTATTTTTAAACTGTGGATTTATTGCAAATCTTTTGTTATTTGTTTGAGCTCAAAAGTGGCTCAAATAGCCAAAACAACGTCGTTTTGAATACAGAACAACATAAAAATGACCAAAACGACGTCGTTTTGGCCATTTGAGCCACTTTTGAGACACAAAATTTGAGTTACGAGACATTTTCCTTTTAATAAATCCATTCTTGGAAACACAACTCATTTTGGTGGCGGAAAATCATTGTTGGGTTATTAGTTTGTCATATGTGTGATTTTTTTTTTCAGTATATTTTTTATTAATTTCTTGAATGAGATATTTTATCATATGAATTAACTGTGGATTTCAAAATGATTGATGATTTGTTACTAGTTTGTCATATGAATTAACTTTATAAATTTTGTAGTTCCATTTAAGCATCTTTTAGTTCAATTAAATTTAACAAAGCTTAAGCCATCAATAGATTTGATTCCATTTAAGTATCTATTGATTGTTTCATTTGGTTTCACTTCGTGAATTAAAATAACTTTTGTATTTACATCAGCTATGTATTCCAAAACCTTTACAGGTTAACTTTTGTATTATGTATTACTGGATTAATATGTATTTACTGAAGTCAACTTTTGTATTACAGGTTTTGGCAATACTAAGCTGGAACGACCTCTAACATTATGGATAATGTAAGTTGTCTTTTAAAAAAAAAAAACTGGTACATAGATTTTAAAAAAAGTTTTGTATTATAGGTTCTGATTAAAAAAAAATAAAAATCCTCAGTTTTTACAGCTAGATGGAGACTTACAATGAACTATAATATTTGTTCCCTTTACTCATCGTCTTATAAAATTTCATTTTGTGTACATATTAGCTACTTATTTGTTTTTGTTTGTATAGGTTCAGCTTTTTTAACAAAGAAATGTCGGTGTAGTGATTCGTGATGAGCATTATTTCAATGTCGTTCGTATTTCTAATGTCAGTCCAAAAATCATTTTCTTATCATTTTTTATTTATTTATTTTTATGTCTTATACTTTGGTTATTTCTTAGACTTTGGTTATTTTGTAAAGACAATGAAAAAGGAAAATGCGAAGGCAATGTCGAAGAGAAAAGAAAAGGTGTCTTACGCTTACAAAGGTTTTTTTTTTTTTAAATTGTTAGTTTTCATATGTTTGTATTTTAAGCCATAATTGTATGTCGAATTGTTTATTTTAAGCAATAAACAATTGTTTATTTTAAGCCATAATTGTAGAGTGTTTTTGAAAATGCGTGTCCAATTATTTATTTTAAACCATAATTGTATTTTTATCTTTTAAACTGTGCACTTTTGTAAGCGTCACCTGTATATATGTGGAAATCTGCACCACTTTTCAATGTAAGTGGGTGGAAATTTTGAGATAAACAGAGGAGGGAGAAAATGGGCAACAAATTTTTTTTTTCTAGCTATGTGAATGGGGATACTTTATGAAGTTCATAAGTTGGCCGAACATATGTTTGTTTGTATAACAAAACCACATAATTTATTATATAGATTATAAATGGCAAAAGTGACTAATTGTAAGGGCAAGCGAAAGGAAAATGCATGTTTAGCGGTATGGTTGTTATTGATTTTTGTAGAGTTTTTTTATTTTTTATTTTTGTATCTTCATATATTGTATTTTATTTAGCCATAATTGTATTTTATTTTTGAAACTATGCACATTTTTTAGTATCTCATGTATATTTTTAGGAAGAAAGAAATATATAGGGGATACTTTATGAAGGAACATATAGTGAAAGGAATATATAGTGTCTTCTGTAAGTGCATGGGCCCTACAAGAAAATGGGGATACTTTATGAAGCTCATCTGCTGATTGAACATTTGTTCATTACTGTTACAAAATCACACAATCTGCTGGTCGAACGTTTATTATTCTCATAAGTTGGTCGAACATTTGTTCATTAGTGTAACAAAACCATGCAATTTATTATTATTATTATTATTATTATTATTAAACTATGGGTAGTCATGGGCAAGAGTATAATGCATTTTTTTTTGGAAGAGGGGATATAAAAATAGAAAATGGTATTTTCTTTGGACAGTGGAAAATGATACTTGATAATATTTTCATTTTAGGCATCTAATGATTTAATATTCATATTTTAGGGACCCAATGGTTATGTTATATCAAGAGCTGTATTAGCTCAACGTGCACGACGAGAACGTGAAAGAAATGAAAATGCATACTCTACATATCAATCGAGACAATGCTTGCGACAGGAACGAGAGAGATTAGGAGCATATGTTAAAGACTTTCCTTCATTAACACCGAGTCGTCGCAGTCACGCTTGCGTAGAACAGGGTACAAAGACACTTGCGGATACTTCGTTGGCACAAAAACGAACAATGGTTACACATGCATCCACATGTTCGTTCTCTATGGAAAGTACATCTTTAGCTCGGAATTGGTAAAACATGTTTAATTCTTTAAATAATACTCTTATTTTTACATGTGTATAAATTTTAATTTATGCACAACAAATAGCCTAATTCTACAGTCACATTTCTTCAAGAGGATCTATGTACAGATGATGAATTAGAAGATATGACTATAAGTACTGCGATTAATACTCAATCACACATAAATTCATGTCGTCATTCTCTCGGGAAGATGGATGTGTTATGTCCTTATTGTTCAGCCTTACATTGGATGGACGAAAAATTAGCACAATCATCTCGAAAACGTCCCTTATTTGGACCTTGTTGTTCAAAAGGAAAGACTAGGCTACCTTTGCTTATGACACCCCCTCCACCGCTTCAAGCATTATATGATGGGGATGATGATCAAGCAAGATCGTTTCGACGTTATATTCGAGTATACAATGCAGCCAATGCTTTTACAAGTCTTGGTGTTACATTGGGTCCAAGAGTACTAAGGGGAAGTGGCCCTAAACCATTTATTATCCATGAGGAATTGCGACATCGAACAAGATCACTTCTACCACAGCCAGGTCAGGATGCGACTTATGCTCAGTTGTACATTTATGATCCTGATTCAGCTTTAGAAGTTCGAAATCGTAGAAATCCTCACTTGCGAAGGGAGGTTCTCAAAACTATTCAAGATAATTTGTTGCAAGTTAATGCATTTGTAGAAAAATTTCGCCAGGCTCATACAATTTTGAATCAATTAGCCTTCACTGGACAAAATCTTCTTACTCATCTTCACTACAGTTCAGCAACAGACTGACGACGGTATAACCTACCAACTGCTGATGAAATTGCAATTGTAATACCAGGTGATAGAATCGAGGTTACTGGAATGAGAGATGTTTTACATTGTAACGCCCTCAAAATAAACCCACAAATCATGCATTCATTACATCCATAAACTTAAGAGAGTAAAACATAATGCTATTCATCAGAGTATTCTTACAAAAGATATTACATGTTGACAACAAAAGTAAATGCTCTATAGGCTTACAACTTTTCAAGTCAACACTTGGGTTCATCAAAATAGAGTTCTAACTCTTTACACCAAATAAGCTCATGGCTTAATATACATGTAATATACAAAAGAGATAACAAAAAGAGTTATCAGCCTCAAGCCTCCCAAGCTACTTCCTTGGAGGTGGCATGTCACCTGAACTTGAAAATGATGTCCCATATAGGGTGAGTCAACGCCCAGTGGAGATATGCTAAACATAATATGAGCAATAACTAAAACATTAGCATTCGATAAATGTTAACACTGGTCAACCAACTTACAACACCATCCAATTCCATGACAAATATGTCCATGTTCATTTTACTTTCCTTTATTTAACAAATTTTGATTTATAAACATGGCTCAGAACCTGGCCAAACAATTCCTATGAGACTACGGCTCATGTTAAAAACCCTTCCAATATCAACAATTCAAATGAGATTATAACTCATAATAAAACACTTCCATAATTCATAATAGATACACATATTTGCTATATCAATGCCATATTAAAACACTTTCATACTTCATAAATGATACACAGATTTGCTGTATCAATGGAGTCCATCCCTTATCTCCTCCCAAATAACATCCGGTTTAGGAGTCCATCCCCTATCTCCTCCCAAACCGTGGAGTACATCCCCTATCTCCTCTCACACAATACAATGTATATAAACAATTATCATATACACGATCAATCAACACACACATTCGATGTATCATTGCAACCGTCATATTCAATGACATATTCAACCGATTAGTTTTAATTCACCTAATCATCATGCAATGTCTACAACACTCAAGACTATCCTCCACCGATAGCCCAAAGCAATTATTTCTAAACAGACAATAAATGCATCAACAGATAGGTTATCATCAATTTCGAAAGTGAGCGATTTATAAATCCAACTCCACCATTCAACCTTATTTTAAGCCAATTTCGTCATTTCCAACTCAATTTCATATTTCCATAACTTTCCAAATTAATTATACAAATTAATTCATAACATTAAATTAGGGCATTTCTCCCTATTTTCTAAATATTGACCCAAAGGCTCAAATATTAACAACAACATCAATAAGCTCATTTTAAGACCCAAGATATACATATATTGGTCAAAATAACAAAACCCCTTTTTATTTAAGTTGAAACCTCAACACCCAAAATCACCCAACTTCAACATTAAATCAAAATGACCAAAAGTTTATGTCAAAAATCATAAAAATGAGTAGTTATCCCTACCTCAAAAGATGAAACCAAATGGAGATGATGAAGAATTTTCAAAGTGCTCCAAACTTCAAGATTTTCGGATCAAAATGAAGAGCAAGCTAAACCCCACACTTCTTACAAAGGGACAAGGCTAGAAACACACTAGAACTAGATCAAACCTTAGAGAAAAGGTAAAATGTAGTGAGAGAAGCTCTCAAAAATAGGTTTTGAAAAGTAAGAGATAGTGAGAGTTGAAAAAATGATCTAAAATGACCCAGCTGCCAACTGATATGCGTATGACCCGCTCGAGCGGAAAATAGGACACTCGAGCGTCAAACACAAAAACTTAACCCGCTTGAGGGCAAAAATACCCACTCGAGCGCCAAGGCACAAAACAAGACACCACCTGTAACAAGCCCGCGGGGGGGCCTCGCTACAGCTCGGACTTGACTTTCGCAGTCACGGTTCTAAATCTGAACCAAAGAGTCCAAATCCGGCAAATCGTTTTAGGAAAACTGATTTTTGAAAGAAGTGCCAAACATGGACTGCTTTGCCAGATACAGAGTCGCCACCTAAATATTTTATTTTGGGAAATTTAGGAAACCCTGACTCGGTGCCAAAAGGCCACGTGTCCGTCATCACCAAAGTTGCATCGGCTCGGGAACTTGGGTACGATTAGGGAAGGTCACTTCGTGAGCACCCCCGCTCGTAGAAGAGGAATTGAAGTAAGCCTTGATCAGATCAAGGCCATCATTGGCCTGAAGAGTTCAATAATAGCAAAAAATGTCCAAATTTTGACTGGCAAGGCAGCGACATTGAACATATTCATAAGCCAGAGTTTAGATAAGTGCAAGCCATTCTTTCAGCTACTAAAGAAGGCCACAAATTTCTTATGGGCAAAAGCATGAGAAGTTACCCTGGCCGATATAAAAATATATTTGACATCCCCACCCATATTGTCAAACCCAATCCTAGAAGAGGAACTATTTCTCTACCTGGAGGTTTCAAACCACGTGATCAGCGTAGTGGTTGTCCAAGAAAAAGACGCAGAGCAGAAGTCAATATATTACATGAGCAAAATATTGGCAAGTGCGAAAATGAGATACTTGCCTCTTGAAAAATTGACACTCGCTTTTGTGATGGCTTTGAAAAGTTGAACCATTACTTCCAAGCTCATAAGATTATAATGCTTACGGAGCACCCGCTGAAGTCTCTATTGCAACATGGAGACTTATCAAGAAGAATAACACGATGGGTTGTAGTTCTAGGTCAGTATGACATAGAGTACAAACCAAGGCCAACAATCAAAGGTCAAGTTCTGACCGACTTCGTTGTTGAGTATACATCGAGTGTAGGCTTGAAGCCAAGACCCATCAACCTTGGCCTAGGATGCATAGAATAGCCAGAGGAAACACAGCTGGTAGTGCAGAAACCCAAGCCAGTAGGCCCGAAAGAAACCCAAAAGAAAAAACAATAGAAGCCAAAGTCTTATGATATTTACATCGACGAGTCATTCCACCTTTTTGTCAATGACAGTTCAAAAATACAAGGAATGGGGGCAGGAGTAGCACTAGTCTCACCGGATGGACAAGTATTGGAATAGTCCATCAAACTAGGTTCAATGTCTTAAATAACGAAACAAAGTATGAGGCACTGATTGCTGGATTAAAGCTAGTAATAACAGTTGAAGCAGATGATGTAGTAGTCTATTATGATTCCCAACTCATGTAAAAGAGAACAATTTAGAAATATGCTTGAAAGGAAAAATGATGACTCTTCTTTTTGTAAAGGAATTTTTGGTTACTACTTGCTAGATATTTGTCTGATAACACATAACACTGAAGTTTTCTTTATGAAACAAAATCTGGTTATCTGACATCCTTGTGTTTTTAGAGAGTAATTTTGTATGTACAAATTTATAATGGTTCTTTAAATTGCTTTGCGTGTATTAATTGTTTTCTCTTCTTGAATAGTTCACCATATTTGTTTAACAGCTTCCATTTTGTTGCGCATGTTCAACATCTTTTTTGTATTTTATTCTTCCAATGTTTCTTTGAATTCGTGTGATGCTATGTCAATTGCTTTCCTGTCTTCATTAGCTCGTTGCCGAGAAGATGCCAGAGTTGCTGGATTTTGATAAGGATCTCATTCATTTGGAAGCAGCCTAAGGTTTGCATTTTTCTTAATGTAATATGTGAATGGGGTGTCTCTAGTTGATTTGTACAATTTATTGCTTGTTCCATCTGCATATCAAATGGCCAGATCCAATTGAAGTCTTTAGCTGAAGAAATGCAAGCTGTGAGTAAAGGTCTTGAAAAGGTTGAGCATGAACTCACTGCTTCAGAGAATGATGGTGCCATCTCTGCAGGCTTCCAAAAAGTAGGGGACATATCTTACTCTTTTTTTTTTTTAATTTTTAACTGAATAAAATAAATAAATAATTAGAATCACTTTAATTGAATGTTATTATTTTTCTTTCCAATTTAACTATTATTATTAATTTTAAGTTAAGTGTTTATTTTAGGGGCACTTACATTCAAGTCCTAATTAGAATAACTTTTTTAGACCTTCAAGTCTCATTAAATTTTTAATAGTTAGAATTGCTCTTCAAACAATGATTTTTCATCATTTATGATTATCTATAAAGGAACATGATAATTTGACATCTATTTTGATTTTCAAAACTTTAAAACATCAACTTTCAAATTGAAAAAAAAAAAAATTACTTGTAAAAAAAAAAAACTATATTTAAAAATTACAAAAACTGAATTATTTTGGTGTGTGCAAAACTAAAAATTTTGTGTCTATAAAGGAGTATGATTATGGAACATTGATATGCAAAACTATAAAATAAAAAAAAAATTAACTGAAAAAACTC